TCCTTCTTCCATCCACTCCTCCATCTCGCCCATTTCCATGCATGAGACTGTGCAAAACAGCAACAATACATTCACTAGACATGTCACTCGTGTGTTCCCTTCCTGCTGTTAACTTTCTACATGTTATGAACGTATTGACTATCCTGCCCTCACTTCTCTCCCTGCTTACCCTCCAGGCCATTGGTGGTCGGAATGCCAACTCGCCCGCTACAACACCACCCTTGCACCTCCGTACAAGTCGCTCCAGTTTCTTCCTTCCATGTGTTACCAGCATATTAAAATGTTGCCCGCCCCTCCCTCCCTGCTTACCCTTTCAGGCCATTGGTGGTCGGAATGCCAACTCGCCCGCTACAACATCACCCTTGCACCTCCGTACAAGTCGCTCCAGTTTCTTCCTTCCATGTGTTACCAGCATATTAAAATGTTGCCCGCCCCTCCCTCCCTGCTTACCCTTTCAGGCCATTGGTGGTCGGAACGCCAACTCGCCCGCTACAACATCACCCTCGCACCTCCATACAAGTCGCTCCACTATCTGCTAGCATATCGCCGCGCCCTCAACCAAACGCTGTCCGAGTTTCTGCGCCCAGAACTCGCTAGCAAACAGGTTTTCTTCACCACATCTGCCCCGTCCCACGACATTCACGGACTCTGCCCAGAAAGAAAAGTGGTCAAGAAGACTGACACAAAGCGGTTCAAGAGGATGCGACTCCCTTGGACGGTTGAAAAGAATACAGTCCTAGTTGATGTTGTTCGGGGGTTTGAGGAGAAGCAAGTGCGGGGGGCAAAAGGGTTCCAGGGGGCAAGAATAAAGCTCCTGGACATGTACAACGTGACACTGTATAGGCAAGAGGCGCACCCGTCGACGTTCAATGCGAGAGGTAATTGGGACTGCTTGCACTACTGCTTGCCGGGAGTGCCGGATGCTTGGAATGAGATTCTGCTCTGGCAGATGGAGGCTGGAAAGCCCAAAACCAAAAGGCCATGAACTGTTGATGTGTTGCTTGCGATATGTTAAGGGTATAGAAAGCGTATTGCATGAAGAAATTTTGCCTTGGGTATTGATATCACTAATGTTAGGAATCTTAGGAAGTGGGGTTATTATACGAATGGTCACTGAACAGAGCGCGCTAACACAAATGGTCGCAGGGTTATCGTGAACAGTCATTGAAACGGGCGAATCTATCACGGGTGGTCACTGATTTATCACGGGTAGTCACTCGTCGCCCAATGATGCTATCACGAATAGTTGCTGAAAGAAACGCCCGCCCGAAAGTTGAAATGCTTCCCCATGCGTTATCACACTGTTGCGATTTAGGGACTAGTAGCGCGTTAATTCTGTTAGTCGTTTTAGTTGCAGCACTGTTTCTGTCTCATGGCGCCATTTTGTCTGTAGTGTTGCGAGACGTTGTTACCTACGAAATACTTTTCGTGACCACTCTTGCGAAATCGTTAAAAATCTCGCGAAATTTCTTGGCAACATTGGAAAGTTAGCTCGATTGTCCACTGTTTGATTTATGCATAATGTCCTAAGAAAAGCACTTTTAGACGGGTGAAACTCGAAGTTTCTTTTTGTTCTAAGGAAAAAACTAAAACCCATTCGGATGGGATTTTCACCGGGAGGAATCAACCCTAAACACATTTCGCATGGTGTTTAGGGTTGATGTTGTGAAGAATGAAACGAGAGAAAAAGAAATGAAGAAGAAGGGGGGTTTCACTAGCAGCAATGAGGATACATATAGCAAACCCTAGATGGGTTGTACCCGCTATAGAGCACCCCACTACAGGCTAGAGAATAACATTCTGACACACCCCCATAGCAAAACTGGGGTGTAATCAGCACAAAGAGCAAGCAGGCATAGAGCAAGAATTCATAATAGGTAAGCAAGGCTAGAGCTAATCACAGAGGGCAAGTGAGGAGGAGGAGAGACTGTGGGGGAGAGAAGATGGGAGGCGACTGCTGACGCTGCAAACACACAGACGAGCTGCTGGCTCAGTGGCTACCGAAGTAAAGGCCCGGACTACAGGAGTAACTGGCTCCGCGGCTAAAAGTAGCGGCAGACGAGCAACTGACCCACAGGCAACTGGCGACTACCGGAGATTGTAGCCTCCGGACTGCTGGTGCTGCTGATGACAAGACTGCTACCTCCACTCAACCTCCCCCAGCTGCCCAACGCCCCTCTCACACACCCCCTGGTCAAACCCTAGCCCTACACCCACAGCACCCCCTTAAACCATAAACCCCAGACTCACACACATCCACCTCCCTCCAAACCCTAGCTCCACTCCCACAACACCCCCCTTAAACCCTAAACCCCAGGCTCCCACACATCCACCCCCCTCAGCGACAGCTGCAGCATTGGGAGACGAAGGAGGAGGAGGAGCAGGGGAGACCACACACCCGTCACCCCCTACTCGCCACCCCCAGACCCTAACACAGGGCAGGGCGGGACGGCGGGTAGGGAGGTTGGGGGGGGAAGGCGACGCGCGGCCTCCCAGGGCGCCAAAGCAGGCGGCAGAAGGGGCGACGCTCGCCCCCCTCCCCCAGGTCGCCCCTCGACAGGCGACGGGAAAAGAGGGGGGGGCGGTGCACGTGCCCCCGGTGCGCTGCGACCGGCGACGAAGCATGGTCGGGGCGGGGCCGGAGCAGGGTCGAGGAAGGGCCGAAAGGGGCGGCGACGGGGCCGTTGAAAGGGCGGCGACGGGGCCGCGGAAGGGCGGCGACGGGGCTGCGGAAGGGCGGCAACGGGGCCGCTGAAGGGCGGCGACGGGGCCGCTGAAGGAGCGGTGACGGGGCTGCTGAAAGGCGGCGACGGGGCCGCTGAAAGAGCGGCGACGGGGCCGCAGCAAGGGGCGGCGACGGGGCTGCTGGCGGCGGCGACGGGGCCGCGAAGGGGCCGCGAGAGGCCTGGAAGGGCGGCGACGGGCCGCGAAAGGGGCGGCGACGGGGCCGCGAAGGGGCCATGAGGGGCCTGGAAGGGCGGCGACGGGGCCGCGAAGGGGCCACGAGGGGCCGAGAAAGGCGGCGACGGGGCCGCTAAGTGTAGGGCGAGGGGCACGCTAGAGGGCGTGGAGTGAACAAAGTAGCGGCGGAAGTAGTTAGGTCCTAGGATAGGAACCACTCTGATAACATGTGAAGAATGAAACGAGAGAAAAAGAAATGAAGAAGAAGGGGGGTTTCACTAGCAGCAATGAGGATACATATAGCAAACCCTAGATGGGTTGTACCCGCTATAGAGCACCCCACTACAGGCTAGAGAATAACATTCTGACAGATGCTTCCCAAAGGGTGTGAGGTCCTATAGTTGTTTGTTTTTTTCTTCAGTCCTAGATTTCAGGCGAGAATCATGCGAGAGGTATCAAGCAATCGAATTTAAGATTCTTCAAAATCTCCACAGTTTTTCCAAAGGGAGTTTCAACTTTCCTTAAGGGTTTCATCGAGTGACCATTCGTGATAGAAATGCGGAGCAGTGAGTGACTATCCATGATAGTACTATGATCATCCGTGATAGATTTGCCCGTTTCAATGACCGTTCGTGATAACCCTGTGACCATATGTGATAGCGCGCCCTTAATAGTGACTATCTATACAATAACCCTTAGGAAGCGCACCCACCATTAGAAAGAAGCACCAGACTTTCTAGCAGCGAGTTAGTGCAAATGCGTTAACATGATACTGCATTGTGGTGCTTTTTGTATGACGAGGTCAATAATCGCTTTCTGTATTGCTTCCACCGACTACCGCTGACTCGTTCGCGGCAAGCCCAAGAGGGGTCAGTAGCTTTCGCATGGGTACTACTAGCGACACTGCGCTTTCAAGGGGACTACAATGCTATATGCGGGCACTTTCCGCCACTCCGACAGGAACATTATAGCAACAACCCAGAACTCGGTCCCACATTCACCCACGTGTCACAAATTTCGCAAGCCGCCGGAAAAAATATCCCTTTACCTGACCGAAAAATCTAAAACCCAATCGGGAAGGGATGCGTCTCGGGGAGGCGTCAACCCTAAAAAAATGTGGGTTCCAATGTTTAGGGTTGATCCCTCCCGAAAATGAGTCCAGGTTCCCTATGGGTTTTTTTTTTTTTTTTTTTTTTTTGCCGTGCGTTTTATAAATTTCCAAATTTGTGACACGTGGGTGAATTTGGGGAAGAGTTCTGTGTTGTTTCTATAATTCCCCTGTCTGAGGTACGGAGGGGCGGAAAGTGCCCCCAGCTGGCACTGTAGCTTCCTAGAAAGCGCGGGGTCCCTAGTAGTACCCCCGCGAAAGCTACCTACCCGCCCAAGAGTCCACATCAGCAACACAGGCCACTTGTTTCTGACATCTGCCCCTCACAACCTCCTGACCGAACCTTGGCAAACCCGAACCCACACTTTTGAGGCTCATAAAATATGTGACTGGACTTTTCTGTACACTTCGGTGATTTTGGGGTTGAGTTCGGTGCTGTACGTTATGTAGCAGTTCGCTCGTTTATTTTCTGGATGTGGCCAGTACTGACCAAGGAAGCTAGGAGGAACTACCGTATTTGCCAGCATTACCTTAATCAGCAGCATATGATCGACAGTCCTGCTATTTATGTTTCAGTCTCACCTTTCCAGCATTTTCTCCCTCCAGCTTTCCTGTTAGCTTCAGAATTGAAGGCTGGGTGCATGAGCATGTGCGTCCACGATCTAGGTTGCAGCTTTCTGTGTCAATATGTGGATTCTTTATTATTTAGGATGTATAATACTGCCTCCAAATTCCCCAGCGAAAAACTGTGAAGCCGCCTGCACTTTCAACAACGGCCTCATTCGAATAGCGTGTCAGTATAGCCAAACTCCACGTGTCGTGATGCGGGTCTGTAATTCCTTGTTAGATTTGTAATGCACGTGTCATTAACGACTCAGAGAAAAATGTGTTCTCCGAAGGTGATCACTTCAACAGGGCGACGCTTATGGTAGAAAGCGTATAATACGAGTTTCGCAGGACTCACCCGAATTCGGTCAGCAAAAGCCTTTCAATGGACCGACGCTCCAGGATGAAAGAAGCCATGGCGGAAGGCCTTAAAGAAGCCAGAGCGTGGGTCCAGAACCGGCCAGAAGTCATAAAAGCAGGCTGCCTCGCCTTAGCTCTCTCGCTCTTATTCATAATATACGCTCCGGCGTTCTTCTTCGGGTTGCTCGTCGGTGCCTCCTCCGTGATCGGCGGCGAGGTCCTTCTCCTGAAGCATCTCTGGAGAAAGATTCGTCCTCCGAAGAAGGAAGGTTCGGAAGCGGGGAATGCGCCTGCGCCGGATCCTGTACCCGAGGACCTTTTGGAAACAACCTCGTTATTGAAAGAGGTTCGTTTAAATTACCACGACATTTTGTCTCATTTCAGCTGTTGGATCTACATGGCTGGATTCTCCTGAACCAGAGGAGATTCTGAAATCAACTTGGATTCTGAACGACATGAAGGGGTTCGTATCATTTCCATCAACTGAGACCTTTCCGCCATCGACCTTCGTACGTGTAATCCTTTCGTGTAACGGCTGGCTAATACGGTTCATTGTCATTCCCTTGTTCAGAAAGCATCTGTAACCCTAATTAGTTACCCGTTCACAACAGGTAGCTTTTAATTCCTGGTGGCCATTCGAGTTGGGCGAGGGAAAACAGGATCTGAACCCTCTTTATCCCTCTCAACTCCTTCTCATCTCCCTACTGCTGCAGAGCGTGGCGTGGGTCTCCCTCAGGCCATGCGAGGCGGACGAGGGCAAGACGGGTTCAGGCAAGCTGCGCAAGAACGTGAAGCTGTTCGCGCCGCTGCTGCGCCTCGCGAGTCTGGAGGTGGAGGAGCGGGTGCTGGCGCTGGCGGGCAGCAGCCAGGGCGAGTCAGAAACAATCTTGCTGGATGGGTGCGACGTTAAGAGCTTCTCAGAGACCAGCGGGCCGGAGAAACGCTGGTGAGGAGGAGGGTGAGGGAGAGAGAGAGGGGTGGTGAGGGAGAGAGGGGCTGGGAGGGAGAGAGGGTTTGGGAGGGAGAGAGGAGATGAGAAAGGGAATGAGTGGGGAGTGGTAAGAGGGAATGGGTGTGGAGTGGTGCAGAGGGATGGATGGAGAGTCTGGGGGCTGAGGAGCGGGTGCTGGTGCACTGCCCTCTCGCCTTGTCCAATCGAACCCCCTCCCCCCCCCCCCTCCCCCTCTACCACCCTACCTCTTTCCTCTCTTCGCCCTCTCCCCCACTCAGGGCTCGCAAGTTCCCCATTCGCATCAGCCACCCGTCCCGCATTCTCTTTCAAAACGCCAGGGAGTTTTTCATCTACTTCCCCAATGGACGCGTCAATCGAACCCCCTCCCTCCCCCCCCCCTCCCCTCGTCCACCCTACCACTTTCCCCCTTTTCGCCCTCTCCCCCACTCAGGGCTCGCAAGTTCCCCATTCGCATCAGCCACCCGTCCCGCGTTCTCTTTCAAAACGCCAGGGAGTTTTTCATCTACTTCCCCAATGGCCGTGTGAAGCAAGCTTGGTGCCGAGCCTTGCGTGCCGCAGCCTTCCCCGAATCAGAAGACACCCTCTGGCAGGTTCAAGTCTCCCAAGCCTACGCTGTCTACCTCGGGAAGATCCGAGCCTCGCGCCCGGACCTCTGGTTGAATGTGGAGGCTACGGAACTGGAGGGTGGGGGGGAGGATGCGCGGGGGGAGGGGGAGGGCGGTGGGAAGACTGGGCGGTGGGGGGAGGGGAGGATGGGGCAGAGGAAGTGGCTGAGAAAGATACGGACAAAGCAGGGAGGGGGAATCGGGGCCAGGAGCGGCAGTGGAGGTGTAGGCGCGTGGGGGGGAGGAGGAGGCGGGGCAGGGGCAGGAGCAGGGGGAGGGGGGGGAGCAGGGACGGTAACTGGGGAGGATTCGAGTGGGGATGGTGGTATATGGGGAAGCTTTAGCATGAGCTCTTGGAGCAGTGGCGGTGCCAGCGGGGGAGGTAGCGGCTGGGGCGTACGCAGTGGCAGCTTCGGCACTGCAGGCTCGGAGGTGTCGTTGCTTCGGCCGCCGAACCTAAAGGCGCTGTTCAGGAAGGAGCAGTCTATGCTGCAGCAGCCGATGCAGGGTCAGAGAGCGTTGCTGCCCCTGCCTGCTCCTCCGGTGGTTTCTTCTGGTTCCATGCATGCAGCAGTAGCACAGTTACAGCATCAACAACAGCAGCAGCAGCAGCAGCAACATCAACACCAGCAGCAGCACCAGCATCACCAGCAGCAGCAGCAGCAGCAGCAGCAGCATCACCAGCAGCATCAGCAGCATCACCAGCAGCATCACCAGCAGCATCAGCAGCATCACCAGCAGCATCACCAGCAGCATCAGCAGCATCGGGATGTCTCTCCTCTGCCAGCCATCCCCTCTGGTCGCACGCTCCCACAGTCCCTATCTACAGAGTCAGATGCGGCTACTCCCGCAGGCGGTGGCTTTGGTGGAGCAAGCAGCATCGGGGGCAGCAACAGCATTGGTAGCAGCGGTGGCGGCGTTGCTGCTGCTGCTGCGGCGGCGGCGGCGGCTACTGCTTCGACTGCCGCTAGTGGTGCGGGAGGGGGATGGGAGGACGGTCCTGGAGGGGAGGAGAGTTCTCTGTGGGCCTTCAAGCGCAGCCACACGGATACATCTGTGCGTCACCGACCGAGAATCCTCAACAGTGAAGGGAACACCACTGATACCACCTTGACCTCTGCCTCCTCTGAAATCAACTCCTGTGGGATCATTCACTCTGTGGCTGGATCGTCTGGGGTGAACCAAACGGGAACTAACTTGTCCGGATTTAACCTGCCCGGATTCAACCTGTCGGGAGTCAATTTGACTGGGGTCAACTTGAGTGGAGTCAACTTGACGGCAGTCAACTCGTCTGGAGTGAGGAAGAGGGGGCATGGGGAGCGATCACAGCTGGAAGGAGTGGCAGAGGGGGCTGTCACTGTCCCACCATTTGACAGCCCGTTCCCCTCTTCACTGTCAGATTCTTCAACAGCAGCAGGAGCCACAGGAGCAGCAGCAGCAGCAGCAGCAAGAGCAGTGGCAGCAGAAAGAGAGGAGGGTCCAGAGGAGAGCGGGCCGGTGGCGTTTAGTGGCCCTGTGACTCAGGCAGAGGCTGCAGCAGCCGTCGCAGCTATTGAAATGGCCCACAGGGCAACCATGCACCATGGCGCGTATCGGCAGGTGGACGGGCAGGTGGGCGAGTTTAGTGGCATTGGCATTGCGTCAGGTCCTAATGGTAGACCGTACCCTAGTGACCTGAGTGTCATACTTTCTGGCGAGCCCACTTGCCCTCCCGCTGCTCCTCTTGGCAGCGCTGCTGCTTCAGATGACGCTGTTGCCACTGATGCTACCTCTGCGGCTGCCGCTGCAGCTGCGGGTGCGGCTGCTGGTGCAGGTGCTACTGGTGGTGCAAGTGGTCCTGGTAATCCTGGTGAGAGTGGTGGTGGTGGTGGCGGTGGTGGTGGGGGTGTGGGTGGAAGCGGCAGTGGGGAGCCAGAGGGGGCGGTGCAGTGGGCGAATGCGCTGCTGTGCAGACTCTACTTTGACCTTTCTCAGGAGGACGCGCTCAGCAAGAAGCTCCAGGCCAAGTTCTCGGTACGTTAACGTGCAGGCAGAGTTCTAGTCCTAGATACATGCCAGCCAAGATCTAGGTCCGTGCCAGCCAAGATCTAGGTTCGTGCTACCAAAGGTTTAGGTAAGTGCCGGCTTAGATTCAGGGCACGTGGAATCCAGGTTCAGGATCTTTGAAGTTCTATCTTAGTCCTTCTTCTTCTTCCCCCTCTCACCCATGTCTCCTGCACCAACGACTCTTTGCCTCCTATCCCTCTCCCCTTGAGACTCAGGCACCTTAAAAGAGACTGAATGAGACCTTATTTTCTGCCCCCTCCCGCGTATCCCCCTCCCCCTTGTCTTCAGGAGAAGCTATCGCTAGTCATAACGCCATCCATCATGGGTCCCATCTCCTGCACCAAGCTGTCTGTCCTGCATCTCAGAGCCTCATATTCACCATGTCCCCCTCCCCCGTGTCTCCAGGAGAAGCTGTCACTAGTCATCACACCGTCCATCATGGGTCCCATCTCCTGCACCAAGCTGTCGCTCGGCCCCATCCCTCCTCTCATTCGCTCCATGCGCACAGTCAACCTCGCCATGCCAGGTAAACATGTGTTGCCTTGATTGTGCTGCATGCTATCTTCTGCACCAACATGCTACTCGGCCCCAATCCATCCCTCCTCTCATTCGCTCCATGCGCACAGTCAACCTCGCCATGCCAGGTGCGCATGCATTGCCCTTTCCTCCATCCCTCGCTCGCTCTCCCCTATCCCCCTTTCCCCCCCACTCATTCTTCCCCATCCCCCTCCTCCTTCGTTTTTTCCCATCCCCGTCCTCATTAGCTCAACCTCCCCCATCCCCCTCCTTAGCTCATTCTCCCCTACACCCCTCCTCATTCTCCTACGAGTGAGAGTCTATTCACCTTAAATATTTTCTCCCTTCTTTGTTTTCTACCAATGCTTGCATCTCGTTTCCCCACCAGGGGACGACTTGGCTCTAGTTTTGCATCTGGAGTACAAGGGAGCAGCCAGCATGACCCTTCCTTTGATGCTCCCCACACCTTGTTCCCTCATTCGTGACCCTGCGTTCTACCGTTGTTCCCTTTCCTCCCCACCGGGGGGCGACTTGGCTTTAGACATGGATCTGGAGTTCAAGGGAGCAGGCACTATGACGATAGAGACCAGCATTGGCAAGCGAGAGATGCGGTTCCTCATGAGCATTGTTGCCCCATGACCCGCTTCTGACCTTGCATCTCTCGTCCCCTCCCTACCAGGGGGCGACCTTGCACTGGATGTCGATCTGGAGTTCAAGGGAGCAGCTGCTATGAACCCGTCTTTCATGTGCCTCATGCCGTTTTCCCTCGTTCCTTTGTTTCCCACCCTTGCATCTCTCGTCCCCTCCCTACCAGGGGGCGACCTTGCACTGGATGTGGATCTGGAGTTCAAGGGAGCAGCCACCATGACGATAGAGACCAGCATTGACATGCGAGAAACGCAGTTCCTCAAAATGTGGGAAGAGCGAGACCTTTCCCGGGCAGAAAAAGAGTCTGAGAGGAGGGCGGAGTATTCTGGGCAGGTGGAAAACACACCGTTGACTGCAGGCTCGGAACCGGCCCTTTCTGACGGTTCGGCAGCTGCCGGGGGAGGCTCGGATGGAGTAAGCTCGGCCGGACCTGGAGCCGGACCTGAGCGGCTGGTTCGGCGAGGATCGGGCATGGGAGAGGCACTGATGAGTGAGGAGACTGCTGCTGCTCTGGTGGGGGATATGGAGGTGGCTGAAGATGTGACTGTAGAGGGCGCTGCTACAGCCCCTGCTACTACCCTGGCCAAGAGCACGCCGACCAAGGGAGGCAGGAAGAGGAATATCATTCGAGGGGTGCGGGGCATGGTCAGCAACATGGCCAACAGCCTCTCACAGGTGAGCCTAAGCCTCCCCCATGTGAGCCTCCCCCATGTGAGCCTCCCCCATGTGAGCCTCCCCCATGTGAGCCTCCCCCATGTGAGCCTCCCCCATGTGAGCCTCCCCCATGTGAGCCTCCCCCATGTGAGCCTCCCCCATGTGAGCCTCCCCCATGTGAGCCTCCCCCATGTGAGCCTCCCCCATGTGAGCCTCCCCCATGTGAGCCTCCCCCATGTGAGCCTCCCCCATGTGAGCCTCCCCCATGTGAGCCTCCCCCATGTGAGCCTCCCCCATGTGAGCCTCCCCCATGTGAGCATCCCCCATGTGAGCCTCCCCCATGTGAGCCTCCCCCATGTGAGCCTCCCCCATGTGAGCCTCCCCCAGGTGAGCCTCCCCCATGTGAGCCTCCCCCATGTGAACCTCCCCCATGTGAACCTCCCCCATGTGAACCTCCCCCAGGTGGTATGCCTCCCCCATGTGAGCCTCCCCCTGCCTCCCCCAGTTGAACCTGTCCAAGGTGAGCTTAACCAGTTTAACCTCTCCCAGGTAAGCCTTCCCCGGATAAACCCACCCACCCCATGTAAGTGTTTAATACTCATCCACTCTTTGCATTCAAAGGGTGTGAGGCACGCATGCTCGGTAACGTGGCCAACAGCCTCTCCCAGGTAAGCCTCCCCTGGTAAAGCCTACCCCAGGTAAGCCTATCCCAGGTAAGTGTTCTCTCCCTTTCCCCTAACTCCCAAGAAACATGTCCCCTTCACTCTCTCCTTCGAGTTTTTATGACACATCTGTTAAAGGAACAGTGATTTGGATACCCTTCTCCTTGTTCCTCCCCTCCCCTCCACTCGCTGCCTCTTCCTCCCCATCCCTCCAGCTAGGTCCCCCTGACCCTCTCCTTCAATATCACGTCTGTTAATGGAACGCTGCGCATCCGAGTGCCGGCCCTGCTCGTCACCCCCTCCCTTCCCCCACCCCTCCTCCCCCCCTTCCCCCCTCCCCCCCTCCCCAATCAGGTTCCCCTCACTCTTTCCTTCAATATCACATCTGTTAAAGGAACTCTGCGCATCCGGGTACCCGCCCCGCCCTCCGACCGCCTCTGGATGTCGTTCGTTGAGATGCCCGAGATCGAGATGCAATCCATGCCGTCCATTGGCGACCTCAAGCTCAAGCGCTACCCCATGGCCACTCTCCTGATTGAGAAGCTCAAGGTGAGTGGGTAGCGGCTTGCTCTGAGGGTGGGTGGGTGGGTGTGAAGCTTAAGGTGAGTGGGTAGCGGCTTGCTCTCAGGGTGGGTGGGTGGGTGTGAAGCTCAAGGTGAGTGGGTAGCGGCTTGCTCTCAGGGTGGGTGGGTGGGTGTGAAGCTCAAGGTGAGTGGGTAGCGGCTTCCTCTGAGGGCGGGTGGGTGGGTGTGAAGCTCAAGGTGAGTGGGTAGCGGCTTGCTCTGAGGGTGGGTGGGTGGGTGTGAAGCTCAAGGTGAGTGGGTAGCGGCTTGCTCTCAGGGTGGGTGGGTGGGTGTGAAGCTCAAGGTGAGTGGGTAGCGGCTTGCTCTCAGGGTGGGTGGGTGGGTATGAAGCTCAAGGTGAGTGGGTAGCGGCTTGCTCTCAGGGTGGGTGGGTGGGTGGGTGGGTGTGAAGCTCGAGCACTACCTTATGGCCACATTCCTGATTGAAAAGCTCAAGGTGAGTTGCTGGCCTGCTGACTCCCAGTGCAGTTTGTTTTTGTTACGGTACGTAGTAGCATGTGGGTGGGTGGGTGGGTGGGTGGGTGGGTGGGTGGATGGAGAGTGGGTTGCGTGGTAAGTCTCAGGGCAGTTTGTTTTTGCGACGCTTTGTAGCATGTGGGTGTTTAAACCCTAGCAATCACCCTCTCAACCTCAATCCTCAAACTAGAAACGCCCATCGTTTTTTGCTTGTCGTCCTTCCGTCCCCCCCCTCCTCTCCCCATATCAGGCACTGATCAAGCGGTCACTCACTGGTGCAGCCCAGCTGTGTGGACGCCAAGCTCCGCGTCATGCTCTCAAACCCCCACGACTGGTTTCCCCTAGTTTGAACCCAAGAGGCATAACATTCCCATTCCCCGTTTCCTCCCCCCCTCTCTTCCGCCCCAAACCGTGATCAGGCACTGATCAAGCGTTCTCTGGTGCAACGCAGCTGTGTGGACGCCAAGCTCCCCTTCATGCTCTCCCACCCCCACGACTGGTGACACCTACATGCTGCCTAGAAACCCTAAATTACACCACCTCGTCTCCCCCCATCACACCCCCATTCCCATCAGGCCCTGATCAAGCGCTCTCTGGTGCAACGCAGCTGTGTGGACGCCAAGCTCCCCTTCATGCTCTCCCACCCCCACGACTGGTGACACCTACAAGTTTGTCTTGGTTTCATGCCCGTAACTCAATACGTTTCCGCCCCCCTCCTTCAAACCCCCATCAGGCACTGATCAAGCGGTCACTGGTGCAGCCCAGCTGTGTGGATGCCAAGCTGCGCTTCATGCTCTCAGACCCCCACGACTGGTTACCGCGTCAACCCTGCATGTTACCCTGGCGCCCCCCTGTTGACGCCTCTGTCAACCCTCCTCCCTCCACCCTCCCCGCTTCCTCCTCCTCGTTCTTCACTCCCTCGTCGTCCCAAACCTCTCTCTCCGGGCTGGCCCAAGCCTCCAACGCCGGCTCGGACAGCCGAGGCTCGGATGTCCGAGGCTATATGGTAAAAGACTTGGGAAGAGGTTTGGACGGGGAAGGGAGGGATGGGGAAGGCCTGGGTGCAAGTATTGGAGATTCTGGTGGAATTACCAGCACCAGTGGCGGTAGTGGTGTAGGTGGTGCTGCTGGTGGTGGTGCTGCTGGTGGGTTGGCTGGGAGTGCAAAGCTAGGTCGGGACGGCACGAGAGGGTCTGTGAGGGGGTTAGTGGGCGGGATAATGACGAGAAGGCAAGGGGCAGCAGTCACAAGCAGCCCTGTGCTCGATCTTGTCACAAGGCGGACCGTCAGCCACCAGAGTCTCAGCTCTGGCGCCTCTGCTGCTGCTTCTGGGGCTCCTAGATCGCCAATGAGGGGTGCGGTAGGTGCTGCTGCTGCTGGTACTGCTGCTGCTGGGCTGGGAGGTAGGCAGGGAGGAGCAGGAGGTGCTGGGGAAGTGGGAGGAGGAGCGGGACCAGCAGCAGGAGGAGGAGGGGGAGCGGCAGCAGCACTGGTGTCGGGAGGAGGAAGCAGCAACAGTGACTCGGCTCAGCTTGCCTCCAGCTCTCCCCTTGCGGCTCTGGTCCCTTTCAATCCTAACGTGTGCCCCTCTTCTCCTCTTAGAAGACTCCCTCCTTTCTATCTTGGCTCGAAGGAACATGAGCTTCAGCAGCAGCAGCAGCAGCAGCAGCAGCAGCAGGACGCCAGCGTCCCTTCCCCCTCCTTCTCTGTCTCCTCACCCCCGGTTCCTCCACCCTCTTCCTCCTCCACAACCTTCTCACCGCTCTCCACTCCTGCTCTTCCCTCTTCCACCTCAACAGCTCGCCACCTCCTCTCAGCAGCCAAGTCACACTTGAAAAGCGCAGCATATGCAATCAAACCCTCGTCTTCCACTCCTTCCTCTTCCTTTACCTCTGCAGCCTTCCTTTCCTCTTCAGGCGAGTTTGGTAAAGCCAGTGCAGCCAGTGAAGGTTACACTGCTATCGCCACTGCCGCTGCTTCTGCTGTCGGAAATTCTGCTGCTGAGAGTACGGGAACAGCGATAATGGCAGCAGCAGCAACGTTGTTGTGCGGTGCTGCTGCCACTGCTGCTGGTGGTGATGCTGCCATTGGTTCAGTTGCTGGTGGTGCTGCTGCTGCTGCTACCTCCGTAGGTTCGGTTGTTATCGGCTCTTCTGCTGGTGCTTCTGCTGGTGCTTCTGCTGGTGCTGCTGGCATGGCCGCAGGTTCGGAGGCAGGCTCGGCAGAGGTACCTGTTCATCAAACTGCCACGTCACCACCGGTGCTCCGTCTCCCATCCTCCAGCTCTTCACCTAACATTGCTGAGGCACAGCCACAGCTCCAACCTGCGCCCGTCTCGTCCTCATTATTGTCCGATCCGCTATTGTTTGACAAGCAGCAGGGAAGCAACGAAACTAAGGGCAACGAAAGCGCAAGTTCCCGCGCGGCCGCCATTGCTGGTATGAGTGGCGGTGGTGGCAGCATAGGTGGTGGGGGTGGTGTGGTGGGGCTGGGTGGGGGCTTGGGGGTGGGGCGAATGAGAGCGAGCATGGCTGGAGAGCTGTTTGAGGGTCTGAGGCTGTCTAAGGCATCACGCATGGCTGCACGGGAGAGGAGGAGAGCTGGAAGGGGCCGGGGAGGAGGAGGACGGGGAGGAGGGGTTGGTGGTAGTGGGGATGTGGATGGGGAGGTAGGTTCAGCGGACGAGGGTTCGTCGCAGCAGCAGCCAGTGCGAGGGTTTGAGGCGTTTAAGCAGAGTCTAGGGGTGCGTGGGAGCGAATGGTTGGATAGGGGGAGGGAGAAGGATAAGGATCGGGAGAGATGGGCCATGGCAGCGATTACGAGGGTGGCTGCAATGAGGAAGAAAGCAAGGGGGAGCGCGAGGGGGAGCTGGGATGGGTCGGAGTTTGGGGGTATGGGGGATGGGGAAGATGCAGGGCTGGATGGTTTGGACGGTTTGGATGGGTTGGATGCGGTGGATGGGCTTGATCGTGATGCCTCTGCTGGTGGTGGTGGTGGTTCTGGGGTACCAGGGTCGACGAGGGAAGATGCTAGCTTTGGGCTGTTCTCTGGGAGATCTGCTCTGATGATGGTGGGAGGGGGATTGGGAGGAGGAGCGGGAGGAGGGGTGGGGGGATTCAGGGGTGTTGCTGGGGGGGCGGCGAGTGGAGGTCTGGTTGGGGGACTGAGGAGAATGGGAAGGAGCAAGAGTGGGAAGGGCAGGGAAGAGGAGGGCACAGGAACAAGCCAGGGAGCGGGTTCGAGGGAGGAACAGGAGGGGGTGGGGGCGGAGGGGGCGGAAGGGGAGGAAGGGGAGGAAGGGGAGGAAGGGGAGGAAGGGGAGGAAGTGTCAGAAGGCTGGGCTGATGCGAGAAGCTTCACGGTGCCGATAGTGAGAGCGAAGAGCTGGGAAGTGGGGAATTCGGAGGTGATGCGGACGCAGCTGTCGTCTCGCAGTGTTCGAGGCGAGGCAGGGCTGGTAGTGTTGGATGGGGACGGTGTGGGATCGACGGCTAGAAATGATTCGGAACGAACGGTTTCTTCTGGTACAATCACAACAGCTGAACACACAGCATCACCAAGTGTTACAGCCAGCACTGCAGGAAATGCTGCTTTTGGGGGTGTCATCTCAGTAGTAGCGACCAGTGGGGATAGGCGAGGGAATGGGGGAGCAGCAGATGCGACGGCGGCAGCTGTAGTGGTTCGGCAGCAAGAAGGCTCCGGGTCTGGTGGCGAGGGTGGGGAGAGTGGGGAGGAGAGAGAGGGCAAGTGGGGGGATAGGATGGCTAGGGCGAAGGAGTTTGTGGGAAGGATAGGGAATAGGGAGGCGAGGGAGAGGCTTGAGGATAAGGCTAAGAAGGTGTTGGGATTCTTGCACCGAGGGGAGAAAGCGGAGCAGTAAAAAGAGGGATGAGTGCATGTGCCGTCGCAGATGTATGTGATGTGTAACCGGAAAATCAATATGATTTTGTATGTTACCTAGTTTCAAGGAACTGTTTGATTTCTGTTTTCTTCGAAGGGTGTTTTCCTGTGTTTGATATTAAAACCGAAATATGAAATAGTGAAGGCGGATCCAACTTGAAATCGTGCTCGGAAGAAGCAAAACTGGAACGACGATGGGCTGTGTAAAACACTGTTCCGGGCATCGCCCTTCCACAGACTGAACACACGTGATTCGTTCCCGCCAAAAAAAAAAAAAATCAGATCGTGCTCGCGCGTTCGCATTTTCTGCATGCGACATTTGCACGACAATTGTTTGTCGTGCGTTTTGATGGTTGGACCCGACTTCGACTTTCAAGCTGGGCCTGGGTTCCACATATGCTTACTTCAACTCCATTCACGTAGCTTGCCTAACTCACGGAGCTTGCCTAACATGGAATAGCCAGAGACAAGGGATTAGGCTGATGCAGCATAGAAATTAAATTATCATTAGATTGTTTGTGATACTTCGTCGCCGTTGTTGCTGTCAGAATCCCAACCACTAGACCATTGGGATAAAAGGACTTGTTTCAGTAGCGGATCAGTGCGCCCATAACCCCCCAGGCGAACGCGCCTGTAACCCTCTCCAGGATCAATCGGGCATCCACAGTGCAGATCTACTAACAGCTGCGTAGTGATATTTTCCTCGCGATCACAGAGAACCCCATTCCCGTCGCCATTCCTCTCATCCCTTTCATCGCCCACTATGCTATCCTCGAGTTCGCCAAATCGCCTACCCGCCTCCCTTTCCGTCGCGCGTCACGTCGCCATCTCGTCGCCCGTCCCGTCGCCCTCTTCGTCGCCCTCTCTCCCCTCCTCTCCTCCCGTCGGCCTCTCTCTCGCCCCTCCCTACCGATCGCCCTCCCGTCGCTCGCCCCGTCGCGCTCTCTCTCTCCGCTCCCTTCCCGTCGCCCTCTCTCTCGCCCCTCCCTTCCCGTCGCGCTCTCTCTCTCCGCGCCCTTCCCGTCGCCCTCTCTCTCGCCCCTCCCTTCCCATCGCTCTCTCTCTCTCTCTCCGCTCCGCCCTCTCTCTCGCTCCTCCTTCGAATCGCGCTCTCTCTCCGCTCCCTTCCCGTCGGCCTCTCTCTCCGCTCCCTTCCCGTCGCACTCTCTCTCTCCGCTCCCTTCCCGTCGCGCTCTCTCTCTCCGCTCCCTTCCCCTCGCCCTCTCTCTCGCCCCTCCCTTCCCGTCGCGCTCTCTCTCTCTCTCCGCTCCCTTCCCGTCGCCCTCTCTCTCGCCCCTCCCTTCCCGTCGCGCTCTCTCTCTCCGCTCCCTTCCCATCGCCCTCTCTTTTGCCCCTCCCTTCCCGTCGCGATCTCTCTCTCTGCTCCCTTCCCGTCGCCCTCTCTCTCGCCCCTCCTACCCGTCGCGCTCTCTCTCTCCGCGCCCTTCCCGTCGCCCTCTCTCTCGCCCCTCCCTTTCCATCGCGTTCTCTCTCTCCGCTCCGCCCTCTCTCTTGCCCCTCCCTTCGAATCGCGCTCTCTCTCCGCTCCCTTCCTGTCGCGCTCTCTCTCTCCGCTCCCTTCCCATTGCCCTCTCTCTTTCTGCTCCCTTCCCATCCTCCCTTCTTGCTCGCCTCGAATAGCCCTCCCGGCGACCTTTGACTCTCCCATCACGTATGCCCTCCTTTCTTCGTCGCCTCTCTCATTCTCCCTCTGCTATCGCGTCAGCATGACCCATTCCGTACTCTGTTATTGTGTTTGGTTTGTTTGTTTTTTCTGTCTTTCCATCCATTCTCGACACCCTCTCTCCCGCCGCCTATCCTCTCTCCCGTCGCCTATATTTTCTCCCGTCGCCCTCCCGTTTCCCGTCGCCCTCCCGTTTCCCGTCGCCCTCGCGTTTCCCGTCGCCCTCCCGTTTCCCGTCGCCCTCCCGTTTCCCGTCGCCCTCCCTTCTTCCGTCGCCCTCCCTTTTCCCGTCGCCCTCGCGTTTCCCGTCGTCCTCCCATTTCCCGTCGCCCTCCCGTTTCCCGTCGCCCTCCCGTTTCCCGTCGCCCTCCCGTTTCCCGTCGCCCTCGCGTATCCCGTCGCCCTCCCGTTTCCCGTCGCCCTCCCGTTTCCCGTCGCCCTCCCGTTTCCCGTCGCCCTCCCGTTTCCCGTCGCCCTCCCTCTTTCTCTTCATTCGCGTCACCTTGCGCATCATAATTTCCCCCCTAGTGCTGTTTTTCGCTTCTGTTTCCCGTTATTGCACCTCTCCCAGGCCTCAAGTCCAAGGCAGCACATTGATCAGAGCTCTACTAGCTCTAATAACGTTCAAACACTTTCACTCTCATCACGTACATGTGTGTCTGCTTGGGATTTAGCGTGAGATGTTGCTAGTTGTGAATTTGGTGAAGTATTGGCTCTAGTGAATGCAGGAGTGCTCGTCGCTCAACTTTGCGCCAAATTCGCACATGTACATGTGAGTGAACCTGGCTGCCAATCAGAATTGACAATGAACTATCGTTCCTGGTCCAATAAGAAACTCGTCCGAGGGTCGGAAAAAAAAGCACACATACAGCAATTCCAACATTCTGTAAGGAAATTCCCTTTTCCTTACTTCGCGTCCCTGCTCAACGCGTACATCACTGTAGCACCTCAGTCAGCACCGTTACCACTCGCGACCATCGCATCATTCATCATCCCGCCCTTTTCGCACATCGCATCCCGACCTCACGGCTCGGCTGGTAACCCGCGCTCCGGACCTACGCTTCGACACTTTCCCAACCTCAGTCCCAGGCTCGTCGCGCGACCATTACCGTTACCACGGTAGTTTCGCTATATAATGTTCGCTCATGCCTTCGCTCATTTGTATTCTTGCTTCGATAGTGCAATTCTCGTTCGTTCACTCAATTGCACTCGTAACACTTGGTATTCAGAGCCTACGATCTCATCTCGGACCGCATCCACACCTTCGCTTCCCACTATCTCAATTTTTTGGGGGGGGTAGACGTCTCTCAGCGACACAGCACCGCCGCTCGTAGTGCTCTCTCGAAAGCACGCACAGCCACGACCGAGGCTCTCGCTGAGCTTGCCCGACACCCCCGCCATGGCCGATTTCAATCTCGCCACGTTGACGCAGGAGCAACTCGATCGTCTCGTGCGTCAATTGGAGGATTCGGCGCTCGAAATCGCGACTCTCACGGCGGAACGTGACTCCGCCCGTCAACAGTCAACGGTGAACGTACCGACGACATCACATGCACCAACCAATGCATCTGCACATTCGGAGGAGCCCATCGTCATCTCATCCGGCACACCAACGCAACACAACAGCACGGGACAGCGCTCAGGCGCAGCCAGTGATGGCGCAGCCCAACCGATGCCCGGCATGGGAGGGAACAGGAGCGCATTAAGCCCACGGGAGCCCCGAGAAGCCCGTCGGCACGTGGAGTTTGCGGCGACAAGTGGCGAGAACGCCATGATGGCCCCAATGCCACTCAAGCCGCAACGCCCGCCCTGCTTTGACCCAAGCCAACGCGGCGGCCCGACAGTTCAATCGTGGGTCTTCATGATGAATGTGTTTTTCGACGCCAACTACGTCGAGTCGGACGCCGCCAAGATCCGGTATGCGGTTTCACTACTCAGGGGCCCCGCCATGGACTGGTGGCGAGTCATTGTGACGTCGCCGCGCGCCTACGAGCCACCGTCGCACGAGGAAGGGCCCTCGGGTCCAGCTGTTACCTGGAGTTCGTTCTGCGAAACCGCCCAATACAGCACGTGGGATGCGTGGTGCGCAGGGCTTCGGGCGCGCTTTGAGCCGATCGCGGCCTCGATTTTGGCGCGTCAGAAACCGCGCACTTGGCGCCAGCTCGGGTCAGTTCAAGACTACACCAGCGGGTTTCTCGCACTTTGCGAACAGGTCGGCTACATGCACGAGGCGGAGCGGGTGGACCGTTACGTCGGAGGGCTGAAGCCGGACATCTCGCACGAGATAATGCTACGCGGGCTCTCGAATTTCAACGAGATCCTCGCGCTCGCCGAGAAAATCGATATCCTACGCCGACCGAGACCGGGGTCCTATTACGGACATCGTCCTCGGGGACCGACCGAGCACGCCACTGTACATGCCGTCGCAGCGAATGCAGCTGCCGCGCCGTTTAGAGGGCGCTGCTTTGCTTGCAACCGGCCGGGCCATCGCAAGAGCGAATGTCCAGAGGAGCTGAGGCGTCGAGGAGCAGAGCAGGGGAAGGAGTCTCGGAGGCAGGGAAACGCCAGCAGTCAGTAGAAGTTGGGCCAACTACTGACGAGACTGCCTGCTCGCCCAACCACACCGACCCTCACCGAGTCACCGTACCGATTCACGCCATCGATCGGGCTCGAATGAATAAGGAGGGTACAGCGACGGATTGCCCGGTACTGATCTACGGGAAAATACAGGGAGCAGCAGTGAAGATCTTCATTGACGGAGGAGCAAGCCACAGCTTAGTTAATACCGCAACCGCACGAAAATTACAGTTAACGCTTAACCGATGTTTACCTGAGATAGATGCACGCTTAATCGACGGCACGCCCCTGGCCATACAGGAAAAGGTGGAGCGCGTAAAAGTCCGCTGCGGGGGAAACTTTGGGTTTACACAGGAAATGCTCGCGACGACAGTGGATGGGCACGACATTTTATTAGGACGTGATTGGCTGCGACGGTACAACCCACGGATCGACTGGACGACGGGGAGCTGCACAGTGCGAAGTAGTGGTAACTGGGTCGTTCTACCTCGCTGGCAGCCACCCAAATCTTCGACGGTCCAGGTCAACGCCATCACGATGAAACGGGCTGTCGCTGCTGGAGCTGACGTATACGCAGTGGATATCGCACTCGTAGAAAAAGATGAGTGTCAGAACATATAGCTTACTTGTTTCTGTAGGCTATAGTGGGGTATCCCATAGGGGGTACAACCCAAATTAGGGTTTCCTATTTGTACTCACTTCGTTCATAGTCATTTCACTCTCGTTCATATTTTCTCATGGAATCAGAGCAGGTCCCTTCCTAGGGACTGTTCCTAGGGCCCACCGAAGCGCGCCCCGAGGCGCGCGTTTTTTTTTAGCGACCCTCCGTGTCGCCCTTACCGCCGTGCTCTCGCTTAGGCCCCTCGTCGGCCCCGCTTAGGCCCCTCGTCGGCCCCGCTTAGGCCCCTCGTCGGCCCCGCTTAGGCCCCTAGTCGGCCCCGCTTAGGCCTCGTCGGCCCCACTTAGGCCCTGTCGGCCCCGCTTAGGCCTCGTCGGCCCCGCTTAGGCCCCGCTACGGCCCCGCGTCGGCCCGCCTAGGCCCCGCTACGGCCCCTCGTTGGCCCCGCCTAGACCCCGTCGGCCCGCCGTAGGCCCCGCTCCAGCCCGCCGTCGGCCCCGCTATAGCCCGCCGTCAGCCCCGCTACAGCCCGTCGTCGGCCCCACTACAGCCCGCTGCCAGCCCCGCTACAGCCCGCTGTCGGCCCCGCCCCAGCCCGCCGCCAGTCCCGCTACAGCCCGCCGTCGGCCCCGCCCAAGCCCGCCGCCGGTCCCGCTACAGCCCGCCGTCGGCCCCACTACAGCCCGCCGCCAGCCCCGCTACAGCCCGCCGTCGGCCCCGCTACAGCCCGCCGCCGGCCCCGCTACAGCCCCGCTACGGCCCACCGTCGGCCCCGCCGCCCGTGCTGCAGCCCGCTGCGCCACCGTGCAGCCGCCCGTGCAGCCGCCCATCGTGCCGCCCGTGAGCAGCCCCAGCCGCCCGTGAGCCGCCCGTGCAGCCGCCCGCGCCGCCCGTGAGCCCCTGCGTCACCCGAGCCGCGCGAGCCGCCCGAGCCGCCCGAGCCGCCCGAGCCGCCAGTGGAGCCGCACTCCTGCTCCTGTGGGGCCACTGCTGCTCCTGGGCTGTGTTACAGTGCCGCTGACCTACCCGACTTTTCCTACCCGGTGAGACTGTCAGCTGCTGTCATGGCCACCCCCACTGTCCTAGCCTTTGACGCTGAGGGTAGAGCCATTGACTTTGCAGTCTGGATTGAAGACCTGCAGCTGTACTTACTGTGTGATGCGATAGATGAGGTCTCTCTCTTTGACTTTGTCTCTGGAGCTGTCCCTGCCCCTCCTGCTGATGCTGACCCCGCCATTCGCTCCAAGTGGGCGACCCGCGATGCTGCTGCACGTCTTGCTGTGCGTCGCCACCTCCCTTCCTCCGAGCGTGCCCACTTTAGTCAGTGCAAGACCGCTCAGGCCTTGTACAACGCTGTAGTTGCACGCTACTCCTCCCCTTCCTCCGCTACGCTTAGCCGCCTCATGCTACCGTTTCTCTTCCCTGACCTCGCTGCCTTTCCCACTGTTGCTGACCTCGTTACCCACCTCCGCGCTAGTGACGCCCGCTACCGCGCTGCCCTTCCTGCTGAGTTCCGCGCCGCAAACCCTCCTCCCATGTACATCACTCTCTACTTTCTCGTCACTCGTCTCCCTGAGTCCCTTCGTGTAGTTAGGGACCAGTTTCTCTCTGTTTGTCCCACCACCCTCACTGTCGACCTCCTTGAGGAGTCCCTGCTAGCGGCTGAGAAGAGCATCGTCGCTGTAGGGGCCTCTCGGGGTGACCCTCGCACCCCCATTTTTGAGGGGTGTTCTCCTTCCCCCCTGCTGCCCTCTGTCGCCTCTGCCGCTGCGGCCAACCTCGCTGGTTTTGAGTCGGTCGGTGCGGCGTCTGCCCCCAGCGGTAGACGCCGCAATGGCAAGGGCAAAGGGGGCAAGGGAGCGGGTGGAGCTAGAGGAGGCGGTGGCGGGGGAGGTGGGGGTGGCGGGGGGAGTGGGGGTGGCGGTGGAGGTGGTGGCGGGAGTGGAGGTACTAGTGGAGGCGGTGGAGGCGGAGGTGGCGGCGGAGGAGGTAGCGGAGGAGGCGGGGGTGAGGGTGCCGGTGGGGGCGGTGGCGGTGGAGACGGGGGTGGCGGTGGAGGCGGGGGTGGCGGTGGAGGCGGGGGTGGCGGTGGCGGCGGGGGTCGGGGTGGCTCGTCTCAGCGGAGCAGCTCTGGGGGTGGTCAGCGCCAGCAGCAGCAGCAGCAGCAGCAGCCATAGCAGCAGCAGCGCTCTCGCACCGTCCCCGCCCCTCAGCAGCTCCGTGAGTGGTACTTGCAGCGTCAGCGTGGTGGTGCGTTTGGTCCCTGCCCCTACGTTCTTCGCACCGGCGACCGTGCGGGGGAGAGGTGTGGAGGCACCCACACAGCCCGCCGCTGCTTTGGCCGCCTGACCGACGCCTGGCGTCAGCAGTTTCCGGAGGCCGCTGAGATCCCCCGCTGGGG